GGTGTGATTCCTTCGGTGTAGCTTGAAATCAGGCACACATGCAAACACTAAGCATAATATCTGGCCTAGATGCACATAAGTACAATAAAGAACCAATCATGGAGCAGTATACCTTATGATCAAAGTCGATACCATTTTCATTAGTGCACAGATCGCCATTTGTGGGCATAGGAATTTTGATGCCTTTGCAATCTTGCATGCCGAATTTTCTCAGTACATCTGTCGTGGATTTGTCACGGCGGATGTCCTTAGTGTGAGGACTTAGTCGCGAGGCCCACACATCTATGTGGTAGCTTGAGAGGGGTTGAGCGGAATCGAGAGACGCAACACAAGACAAGGGTTTAGACAGCTTCGGGCCCCGGGAAACATCATCCGGTAACAACCCTACATGTTGTTTGAGGCTAGATCTCATTATCATCACGAGGGAGTCGTCGTAAACCGGCTCTCCTCTAGTTGTGTCTAGCCCTAGAGATTGTTTCTTTCTTCCTTGTCCCTCTTTGGGGAGCCCTACCCCTCCTTATATATGTTGAAGAGGCGGGTTACATGTAGAGTCCAACTCGGACTTAAGACTTAACTATTCTAACTTATCTTCATGGGCTTCTTAACCCCTGACAACCTAGTTATCACTGTTTGCCGGTTTAACATTGTCTGTCGGTTTAACATTGTCTGCCGGTTTAACATTGTCTGCCGGTTTAACATTATCTGCCGGTTTAACATTGTCTGCCGGTTTAACATTGTCTGCCGGTTTACCACCAGCCGGTTTACCGTCTTGTCTTAGCCATCTGTCTTGACTTTCTGTCTTAACTCTCCGCCGGTTTACCAAGTCCCAGCCGGGTTACGACTCTGGCTGGGTCATACCGCGGGGTATATCCCCAACATTAGCCCCCAGTATAATTTGGATTTATCCATGTTAAACTGATCCTGATCATCTTTGAATCCTTGTCATTTCCTTCTAGAAAATCTGAGTCAATAGACCAGCTTCATAATCAATTTGCTAACATCAGTTTGTCATAGTGAAATATTGTGAAGAATAACTCCTTTGACTTCAGCTCCCAATGCTTAACAAAAATATTGGCCTTTGAAATACTCATTTGATCTTCAGCCGGTTTAAGAATGTAGAACTTGCCGGTTTGAGAATGTAGAACTGTGCCAGTTTAAGACTTGAACTCGCCGGTTTATCATTGTCGGTTTACAAATATTGATGGCACCAGGTCATAACTGTAGTTAACATGAATCTTGAAAATATACCTCTTATATGCCTATCACTTGTAGCCCCCAAGTCTTAAGAAGGTAGCATAGCAGCAGCTTAAGACTTGCTTCAATATGAATATCACAATCTTGAAGAAATCCAGGTTGTTCATCAATCACTAGTCAGAATTGAGTATGCTACATATGTAGCCCCCAAGTGCCGAGTTGTCATGCTTGCAGCAACCTGGGACTTGAAATTGCCTTATTCTCATAAAAACTTCAACCAGTGTAGCCCCCAAGGGCCGGGTCATTATGCAATAATGAGCAGTGACTTTGTCAATATAATCTTATAAACTTTGATCATCAGCGTGTAGCCCCCAAGGGCCGGGTCAGTAAGATAATATTGAGCTGGGACTTCGATATATTCTTCAATGAAAATAACATCATATGATGTAACCCCCATCATGGGGCTTGAATTCACGTCCGCGAGGTTAAGAGCCTTGTGCTTTACCAACTGAGTAGTGGACCCTTCAATGTAATGGATAAAAAGCTTTGTACCTTAAATTGTTGACAGAGGCAATTGGTAGTCCCCAAGGGCCGGCTCATTACCATGTGATGAGTCGGGTCTTCAATAAGGTGAGCAAAAAAATGACTTTGCATTAGCCCCCAAGTGTCATGGTGCATGCTTGCAGTGACATGAGACTTGTGTATTTAATATAATTTCAACTGAAATAATGTAGCCCCCAAGTGTCGGGTCATAAGCCTGCAGCAACTCGGGAGTATTCCTTCAATTGTAGAATAAATCATATCTATTGATAATATGATAGCCATTGCGCAAAAGCGATTTTGGAAACCTTAATCATAATACTGGTTATTGATAACCATAATTAAAATCCAGCCATGTTGGCTATTTGAATAATATACCCAATGATTTATAAGCGCATAATTCCAATGGCGCAATCCAAATATATACTGGCGACTTATAGTCCAAAGCCAGGCCGGGTCAATAAACACCGGATTATAAGTGATTATGTACTGACAACTTGTAGTTGAAAGTCGAGCCGGGTTAATGAACACCGGGTTAATTTGATGACTGATAGTCATGCCGGGTCAAGAGACACCGGTTCAACATAAAATTTATCAAAAGAGATAAATCTTGACAAAGGCAAATAAAATCATGCAGTCGAGGTTTTTCAAGGGCTGCCAGGCCCAAATTTGAGGCTTTTCATGGGCTGCCAGGCCGCTGAGTTAAACCATTTTGCAAAGCCTTTTAAGATGGACCTCCAACTAACCAATCGTCGTTTTAACTTTGACAAGTTCAGGGTCTGTATAAGATTGACTTGTCAAACGTTCGGCGGGTCATGCTAGGATTACCTGGATAGGAGTGGCTTACTTGATGAAGGCAGGTTAACCCGGGGTTTTAGGTGAATACACCAGGCTTCCAAGCCATGGCTTGATAGCCAATTACAATGGGTTTCTATGTTTGAGTTGGTGCTTTTTGCAACACTCTCTTTGGCCCCTAATTGATTTCCCTGGTGGCCTTACGCCGATCAAGAGGTGTAGCTATGGTTCGAATATGACCAAGCCCCCAAGTGATCAATAATATGATAAGACAATAAGGCAGGATACCCATGTTTGAACCGCGCATCATGGCAACAGGTCCTCTTTGGCAACCTTTAACTTTTTGCAAGAGATAAATTCTTCTTGAACCGGGATTTTGAACCTGATATTGAGAGCTTCAGAGCTTTGCAAGAGATAGTTTCCTCTTAAACCGTATTTGAACCAGATACTAAGGGCTTCAGCGCTATGTGGGAGACGGGATTCCCCTTAAGCCGGACTATAAACCGGAAGCATCATTGTGAGCCGGAATATTTCTGACGGCCTTTAATTTTTTATCAATATAACAGTAGCCTCCGGGACGGGTTTCCCTTCAACATCCTGGGGCACTTGAATTTTCTGAAACTGGCAAGACTTACTACGTCATATCATCGTAGCTCCCAAGTTTTAAGATGACTCAAGGAGTTGTCTTGAAATTCTCCGTACTTGATCATAGCATAAGGTATATATCATCGGTGTTAATAACGCGATGTAAATCCACAGAAGATTGAGGTGACTGCGGTGGATTTATAAATGATCCCATATGAGCCATGTCAGCAACTCGGTCAATGGTTCCTTCCAACTGGCTCCTTGAAGTTTACCAAACTGTAGTTGCAGCGATTTGTGCATATGTCCATTGATCCATCCAGTGCAGACGGCGGCTGAACGATAATTTGCCTCCAATGTATTGGAAGAAAAACCGGGCTACCCAAATAGTGACTTGCTCATACTCAATAAATAGCTCATGCAGACAGGTGCGGCCCAGTGTGTTGATGTAGACCAGGCCGTGAGAGACAGACATCAAAGATGCCCGCAGCATCAGAAGCAGGCCCGTACAGATGAATCGGCTGCATATCACGGCATTGCAAGACGGTGCGGACGGAAAAATTGGCACCGGTGCTGCAAACCGGCACGGACGGGCGAGTCAATGTAGACCAGGTCCGCAGAGGCGGCGGCTTTGTGCACATCCATTGAACATCGATCAAACGCGATCCCGGCAAGTCGATGTAGACCGGGCCGCAAGGGCGGCGACTTGTGCATGTCCATTCAACAGGTAATATGTCACGGACTATCGTCGGGCAGAACATTATCAGCCCGTGTTCCATATCCATGGTATAAACCATATTTGTAGTGAATGATTGTCTTGTATATACACAGATCAAAGTAATTGTTCTTTGACAAAAACAATATGCACTAAAAATAAATAGACAAGATAGCACCTGATATTTTTTGTCGGATGATCACGGATGTTGGGACGTGCTTGGATCAAAAATAACCGGACAGATGCACGTCTAATGTATCACTGAGCACCCACGTCACTGGATAATATCAAGTTGCAGATTTGAACCGTGTGTGAAGGTACTGTAGGTTAATGGAAAGTGAATATAATATGCATGTGATTAGCACTCTGGCCGCACAATCCATGCACGTAGCAGGTCCTCCACTTCTTCTCTCTTATCTGTTTCTGCCTTCCCCTTTTTTTAAACCAAGAGGCCTGATGCCTATCTCTGTATCCACCGGGCCAAACTTCTCCTCATTTTTTCATCAATCTGAAAGGGAGCATACGGGCGCAACCCGTGTGATAGGACGACCAGAGTGGGGACACAGCGGGACGGCAAGCCAGCAGGGGCGATGCAAGAACTGGCCCTGGTGCGGTGTGGGAACAGCGTAGTGGCACGAGGAGGAGCGAGGCGGGAGGCGGCTCGCGGAGGTCGGCCGGAGTGGAGCGGAGAGCGGCCAAAGCTTGTGTCTGCGTCCGGAGCCGACCGAGGCCAAGGTCGTGTGGACGAGCGGGCTCTCGGTCGTCGAACCAGGCGAGCGGAGGATGGCTCGGCTGCATGCTATCTTGCGGCTAACTCGGAGCAGAAGAAGGTGACGGAGACTGAAGCGGAGACCGGCGTGGGTGGAAGTGGGGTAAGGCTGTGGTGGCGGCCGCTCAAATTCAGGGCGAAACGAGGCGGCGCTGGCAAGCCGTGGCGACGGGGCGGTTTATTCAGGCGGCCTTGCGGTAGAAGCGCTCGGGCGGCACCGCGTCACGGGAACGGCGGCTCGGTAACGGCCGAGGAGTTGGAGGCGCAAACCGGCGATGGCGGGGATGCGGCGGTTTAAACCGGCAGGTCGTAGGCGCAAACCGGCCGGTGGGTTGTAGTCACCGCAGTAGAGGCGATTTGTTGCGATGATTTCATGACGGCGACTTAGCGCAAAGCCGCGGGGGCATGGCAGAACGGGCGGTGACTCGAACCGGAGGCCCGCGGGCGTGCAGCCTGAGCAGAGGCCAGGCGAGGACGAGTCAGAATCAGATGGTCGTGGCCGAATCATCAAGCCAGCGGGGCGATTTAGCAAGTCTACAAGTGTGGTGGCCCACGGCAGCGGCTCGGAGAGAGGCCGCGGCAGAGGCATCGAACCGGCAAGGCGGCTCAAAGCAGCAGGGCAGGTTCAGGCAGCGGGGCGAGTCCGCGGCAGCCCGGCGGCGATTTAGCGAGGCTAGGTCCGGGTTGGAACCAGAGATAGGGCGATTCAGAGTGGTCCTTCGTGGTCCGGAGGCAAGGCACGGCGGCTCAGCGCTTATCACCATGATGGAAGTGTTTCGAGGTCGGGTCAATTCGGCCCGGACGATGCGACTCCGATGCAAGGGCGTGGTCAGGCGATTTGAGGCATTGGACCATAACAGAGACGGCTCGGCAAGGGCCAGCTCGGTGGTTGAAGACGCTGGCGAGGGCGAGGATGCAGACGGTGACCCGGCGACGCGGCGGTTTAGAAGTAGAAGGGTGTCGATCCGGCAAGGCACGACGCGCGGCCATGGCCGGTTCAACACGGGAGAATCGACCCGGTGGATCCATCCACGGCAGCTCGACAATGACCACGAGGCAGCGCCAGCGATTATAGCAGGCATCTTGGAACGACGGCTCACAGCAGCTCAACGCGGCCGTGTCGGCGGCTTGAAGGCAAGACATGACCGGCCCGCAGCAGCTCGAAGCGAGCGGTGACCATGGCGACTCCGAAAGCATGGCCGGCTCGGGGGCAACAGGCCGTGACAAGGCGACAGGGTGCATGTCCGCGGTGGTGGCGACGTGACCGCGTGGGCGTGCTCGCATGGGGGCGAGGGCGGTTTGACGTGCGGTGATGGAGACGACCGGACCATGTGAACGACAGCAGGTCAAGGAAAGCCCACGCGGCGGTTTTGACAGAGGTGACCTGGTGCGGGGACGGCTCATCGGAGCTGATGTTTTGACTGCTGTGGCTTCGAAGCAGGGGAACGAACCGGCGGTAACCCCCCTCGGACAGGCAGCGGTTGACGGGGCAGGAGTGTCACATCCCTGGTCCTGCTATGCTCTAGGCTAGACCTCATGTGAGCATCATGTTTTAATTCAAATGAAATTTGAATTGAGGAATTTTCAAAGCCTCAGAAACCTTCTAAAAATGATCAACATTTAAATCTTCTCAAATGAGTCCAAGAAAATGTTCCTGTTATTCCATAGAAATGTTGGTAAGAGGTAAAATTCAAACCAATATTTTTGGAGTCACAGAAATATTTATTCTGGCCATTTGAATTAATCCAATAACTATTTGCTTTGGATTTATATTTAATATATATATTAAATATGACTCCAATAATTCTGGAAGTTTGTGAGTGGCTTTGTATATATTTTAGCAAGCCACATAAAAACCTACAGAATTTATTAAATGATTTAGTGTCTAAAACTAAATCAAAACAAACTACAGAAAATAGAAAACAGAATTAAATAGAAATAAAAGCAGAGAGGAGAGAAAACTTACCTGGCGCTCACCTCTCAGCCCACCTGGCCCAGCTCCTCCAGCGGCCCAGCCCACCGCCGCTTCTCCCCCTGTCGTCTTCCTCCCCCCTCGCCCCGAAGCTGCTCGGTGGCGCGCGCGGCCACGCGCCCCGGCCACCTCCTCCCTCCCAGCCTGCCTGGCTCGTCCTCGACGCCCCGGTGATGCCACGCACTCCCCTCGACCCCCTCTCACTTCTCCCTCGCTCTCTGGACCTCCCTCCCCCTCACTCCTCCGCTCCCCCCCCATGACCGAGAGCCGCCGCCGACCTCGCTCGCAACCACCGTGGCCACCAGCCACCCTTCGCCCTTCCACCGACTCCAGAAGCACCGAAGAAACCTCCTCGTCCTCCCAATCGAGCCATGGGACGCCGGGAGGCCCTGCATCGCCGTCAACCGTCGTCTTCAACCTCCGGATCCGACGGCCCCCTCCGGTCAATTTGCGGCCTCAGCGTGTCCCCGGCTACACCGAGTTGCTCCCCTTCACCGCTGTGAGCGCCCGCTTCGACTCCCCCTCTTCCCCGGCCTCTCTGCGTCCTCTAGGCCGTAGTTGCACGGACGCCGAGCTCCGCCGCCGCTTCGCTCGCCGCTGCCGACACCACAGTCGCCCCCGCCCATTTTGGTGCGTGTCTCCGTGCTCACCGAGCTCCCAGGAGCCGAACGCGTCCAACACCGGCCCCTGCCATGCACCGTAGCTCCTTCTCCCCTCCCCGCCGAACTCCGGCCGCCGCCGTCGTCATGATTGCCGTCGCCTCCGGCCACCCTAGCTTCTCCCGTTTGCCCTGTTAGATGCGCGCGAGCCTGGGCATCCCGTAGAGCCCCTCCGCCGCTCTTTTGGTCATCGGAGGGCGAATCCCGACGCTCTCCGCCATCCCCGGCCTCGCCGGTGACGAGCCTCGGGTCAACTCCGGCGAGTTTGACCCGGGTTTGACCCCACTGGCCGGTTTGACCCCCCTGGGTCACTGACGTGTGGGCCCGTCCCCTGCTAACTTTTGGTTAAGTTAATAACTAATTTTAATCAAGACACTGACTCACTGACATGCGGGCCCCGCCCGGCTAACCAAGTTAGTTAGGGTTAATTTTAATTAGGTTAGTTAGTCCAGACACTGACACGCAGGGCCCACGGGTCAGTTTGACCTGGACGGCGCCTGTTGACCTGCTGAGGTCAGCATGAGGTCATGCTGACGCAATAATTCCTTTCTGGAATTTAAATAAATCTTAAATGATTTATTATTTTCAGAAAATGTCCAAAACTTCTAAAATTCATAGAAATTCAACCGTAACTCCAAATTAAATAATTTATATATGAAAAATTATCAGAAAAATTCAAGGAATCCATCTGTACCATTTTCATGCATGTTAGAACAACTTATAGCTGCTGTTTAGCACAAATCAATTAAATGGCATTTGAATAATCACATATGGAGTTTGAATTTGAATCTTGTATTCAAACCAACTTCATTTAATCTGTTGCTAGTTGCATTAGCTCAAAACACATTCATATTGCCATGTCATGAGCATGCATCATATTGTGCATTGCATTGATTGTATTTCTTCTTTGTTGTCGGTATCTGTTCCCTCCCGGTAGACGATGTTCCGACGTGGTGATCGTTGACACTGATGAAGACTCAATGTTATCTTCAGAAGTGCCAGGCAAGCAAAACCCCCTTGTTCATTCCGATACAATCCTACTCTATCGCTCCTGCTCTCTTTTACTGCATTAGGACAACACTGATTCATCTGTTACTTGCTGCGGTAGCTGAACCCCTTTATCCTTTGCATGACCTGTCATTGCCACAGTAAATAGATGAAACCCACTAGCATGAGTAGGAGTTGTTTGAGCCCTGATGTGCCTACTCATTTATGTTTGTTTGTCATGCATGCTACTTCTTAGAGTTGAGTCAGGTCTGATTCATCAGGGATGAATCAGAGGCGTGTGAACATGTCCTACTATGTGTGAGTTAAGTGTGTGAACACGATTTGGTAAAGGTAGCGGTGAGAGGCCATGTAGGAGTACATGGTGGGTTGTCTCATTGAAGCCGTTCTTAGGAACTGAGTTCTGTGTTTGTGATCCATGATTCAGCTACTACCATACATTGGGCCCTGAAATATGACCCCGCTCGACTTCTTATTCACCCAAGTCCTCTGTCCAGGAGTTGCAAGTAGTTTCTGGTGTTTGTAGTATGCTGGAGGCCGTGCACATCGCTGACCGGAGGGGTGGGCTGTGATGCGGTAGGCACGTGGCCGGGTAAACCGGGCACCCGTTTGGTGTCACGGAACCCTGTTCACATCGTTTGGGGCTATGAGCGAAACTCCGGCCGGATCTCCTTATGGATGGAACCCGAATAGGCGATAAACCTGGACTAGAGACTTAGGTGTTTAGGTAGGTCGTGGTCTACACCCACGTCGGCTTTCGCTTGAAGTCTGCCGAGCACATGTCGTGTGCAGACGCTAAGTGGTGGAAACATGTATGAAGAAGTACACCCCTGCAGGGTTAACATCATCTATTCGAATAGCCGTGTCCGCGGTAAAGGACTTCTGGGTTGCTTATATCAGTTCATAGACAAGTGAAAGTGGATACCCTAAAATACGCAAGATAAGCGTGAGTGCTATGGATGGCGTTCTCGTAGGGAGACGGGAGCGGATCCATAGTGGTGTATTGATATGGTGAATATGTGGACTCGTGTGCGCCACCTCAAAAGAGTTACATTGCAGTCGTAGTTCAGGATAGCCACTGAGTCAAAGCTGGCTTGCTGCAGTTAAACCCCACCATCCCCTTTGTTGATAATGATGCATATGTAGTTAGTTCTGATGTAAGTCTTGCTGGGTACATTTGTACTCACGTTTGCCTATTTTATGTTTTTGCAGAGAGACTTCGGTCTCACTAGTAGTTTCGCGTGGACTTCGACGTTTAGCTTGTTACCTCAGCTACGATCTTGTGCCCCGGCAGGATCTGGTAGATAGTCAGGCTTCTCAGCCTTTTTCATTTATAGTTGTCTGTACTCAGACATGTTAAGCTTCCGCTTGTGCTTTGATTTGTATGCTCTGAGTGTTGGGTCATGAGACCCCTGTTTGTAATATCTCGCTCCTCGGAGCCTAATAAAATACTTGAGTTGTAGAGTCATGTTGTGATGCCATGTTGTATTTGCACATATCGAGCATATTGTGTGTATGTTATTGAAATGCTTGGTATGTGTGGGATCTGACTATCTAGTTGTTTATCTTTAGTAGCCTCTCTTACCGGGAAATGTCTCCTAGTGTTTCCACTGAGCCATGGTAGCTTGCTACTGCTCCGGAACACTTAGGCTGGCCGGCATGTGTCCTTCTTCGTTCCAGTGTCTGTCCCTTCGGGGAAATGTCACGCATTGAGTACCGGAGTCCTGTTAGCCCGCTACAGCCCGGTTTACCGGAGTCCTGCTAGCCCAGTGCTACAGCCCGGACCCACTTGCTGATGACCGACACGTTCGATGCTGGGTCATGGATGCCTGTCCCTGTAAGTATGTGCCACTTTGGGTTCACGACTAGCCATGTCAGCCCGGGTTCTTTGTCATATGGATGCTAGCGACACTATCATATACGTGAGCCAAAAGGCGCAAACGGTCCCGGCCAGGTAAGGTGGCACCGTGGGAATACCATGCGTGAAGCCGCAAAGTGATATGATGTGTTACATGCTAGATCGGTGTGACCTAGGATCGGGGTCCTGACAGCGTTGGTATCAGAGCTTGACTGCTTGTAGGATTACCAAGCCAAACTGGTCGAAGTTGAGTCTAGAAATTCTTTAGTTATATAAGGGAATTGATTGTGGGATGGAACGTAAGGCTCTTTTTACTCCTTATACCTTATGCCTTCTGATCTGAGTCATCTTATCTTTCCTACGGGGTTTAAGAACTAGGCTATCTCTTCTTTCTATCAGGATCACGTGTTACTAATCCGTAGACTTATAAGATTGTTGGATTTAAGCTTGAGTTCAGTTCCTACGACTTCTGTATGTTAACTGTTGATCTCGAAACCTTGATATTGTGCTTCTGAGTGGTTATGCCACCATTTTTGTGAATGTCTCAAATCTTTTCTGAGCATTTACAGCCGTTATGCTGTCCGAGTCATCCCAGGTTTCTAAATAGTCTGATGCATTTGCAAATCCTTTCTTTCCGTTCCCGATGTCCTTTATGGTCAGAATAAGCACACTAACCGGTGCGTTGAGGTAATTTATTGCCTTGACATATATGTTGGAGCTATTATTATGACCCTAGGTGTTTTAGGGAGTCACCTAGTAATCTAGCAATGTTTTGTGTTCCCAGTGTGAAGATTCTGGCCATCATTCTCGAAAGCATCTCGTGGTGCTACTTAGTAGTAGGCATTCTATTTCTGGGTTCTTGAACCCGAGATTCACCCTACTTACATCATGTTGATAGTGTTGTTAGTTCCTTTAGGATATTAGTAACCTTTGCGATAGTCCTCGAGGTCTGTGGTATATCGTTCTTCCAAATACCATGAACCATTCTTGGCAGGAGTTCTTCTGAACCAAAAGATGATAACAAGAGTACTCTTGAGGAGTTCTCCATTCTATATTGTGACTCTGCCAGCTCAACCTTTCTGCATGGGTTATCCGGAAGAATTATGTTGAACTTGGGTCGACATACTAATCTATGCATCCACAACTCAGAAAGTTATATGTTCCTTTGAGTTGTCCCTCTTAGTTGTCTTCTAACCCTGGTCTATCATTTGATAGTCAAGAGTATGCGTGCGTTCGTTTATCGATGCCTATTACTCTTGTGGTCCGTCAAGCCATTCTATCGTAGAATGACCAGGAGAAACAAACTCCAGTACCTCTTCCATATCCAGGATTGGGTCAAAGAAGTTGTGCTCCGCAGATCAAAATGCCAATCCAGCTTTTGCTCTGTTCTACCTTGGAGTATTACCATCTTTATATTGGGATTGTTATAGGAATTGCACACCATCCTATGAACTCTTGGTACAGTGATACTTCTTGCCATCATTGTTCATTCCTCAGTTCCTGTGTTATCGTAACCGGAATGCCGACAAGTGAATCGTGGTGTATGAAATCAATACTGCTAGCAACTCCGTTGCTTGGTAGTTAAATGGACAACAACCTCATTCTTAGCGTGCTGATTATTGAGTCATCATTCTAAGATTGATCGTGCTACCTAGTCCTTATTCCTGGTGCACTTTTCAATCAATGAGTTAGGATAGTGTCAATCCTTGCTTGTTTGATTATATCGTCTTGCCCTAAACAGCAAGATTGTTCTCAAGCTTAGTAACATACCGGTGGTTCGTGATTTTCCGAAGATCTTCTCGGAAGTATTACCAGGTTCTCACCTGACCGCTATGTTGAGCTCGTGATAAAGTTGGTTTTCTTATAAACCACCCTTTCTCCAAGAATCTGTGTTGGATATCCCTGAGCTAGTTGGTTAAGCTAGACAACAACTTGGAGAATTGCAAGATAAAAGCTTGCCTAACTTAGTTCGTTCCAAAGGGATATTCTTGTGTAGTGTGTGCTGAAGAAAGATGATATCTTCATCGATTGGTCCCTGTGATCAGTTATTGGAACTATTGCCTTATAAAAACTTTGATTTGGGTGTGGGCTATCCTCAAATCAAGTCAGAACCAACGATGTTCGTAATGTTGTCTTACTCGTGGTTTTTCCTCGAGCATACACCATTATATTCTTTGGTCTGACCAATGCTATCACCGTGTTCACTTAACTATGGAATTCCTTTTAAAAGGAAACCCGGATGAACTGTTGTTGAGCCCATTGACAACATCCTTATCTCCTCCATGATTTTGTTGAACATTAAGCTAGTGTTGGAAACTTGTGTAAGCATTTTCTTCATGCCCCGTTCGTGAAGCATATGCTTGGATGAAAAGAAGTGACTTCCTCTAGTTCATATGCATTTGATGCAAGTTGCCGCCGTTGATTCGAGAAAGTCAATGTTTTTCCTTTGGAATCATCCCAAATCAATTATGCATACGTGCGAAGTATTCTGTGGTTTGGAGACTTGCAACCTTCATTCCATATGTATCCCTAGTATACCAAGCCACTGATTGATTTGTTCAAGGAGAAGAAGTTCCTTCTTAAGAGTATACCCTATGCAAGGACTTCGATATCCTCGATGATGGTTCCCCACCGGAACTCG